CTGGGGGGAGCAGCCGGCCGTGAGGGGGCTTCCCTTCCCCCCCGCGTCGGTGTCGGGCTCCCGGCCCTGCGGTGGCGGCGCGTCGGGGAGAGGCCTCCCGGGCCTCCCGCGCCGCGACCTGGGGTGAGCGGCCTGAGGGGGCCCCCCCGCGTCGGTGTGCAGCCGGGCTCCCGGCCCTGCGGTGGCGGCGCGGCGGGGAGAGGCGTCCCGGGCTTCCTCGGGCCTCTCCCCTCGGAGGCGCCCGGCGGTGCCGTTTCCGCTCCCGGAGAAAGTTTTAGGCAAATAATTGCGAAAACGCTCCGGTTTATTCCTTCCAACATCGAGCGCGTTACCCCTCCGTGGTGTTTCATTCCAGAGCCTCCAAAGGGATGAGTGCTGCTTATAATGTTTACCTGTTTTTTGTTCTTGTTTTGTTTTAAAAAAGGAGCTGTCGGTGGGATTGCCTTGGCAGGCTGAATGCTTTTGGTTGCGGGGAGATTTTTCTCTGTTTTCTGAAGTCTTTTTTAAAAAAAAAAAAGTTAAAAATAATCAATTTCTAGGCTCTGACTATTCACTAGCTTCCAGGTGGTTCAGGAATGACCATTTTATTACGAAAACTTGTAAGGCTGGAAAGTTAGTACACGTTAAGTATAGTTGTTTAGCGCCAGCAGGCGTGTTTCACGTAAATAGAGAGAAACTGTTGAGGCTGATGGTCCATGTGGATCCTGTGGACTGTTGGGTTCAGCTGTATCCTCCTGGAAGCCATCAGTGCTGTCCAGGGAGGTGTCCAAGGGCAGGGCAAGCACATAACTGCCCTTTCCCAGCACATCTTCTGGCCTCCTGAGATTTAGGATTCAGGGTCTTGCGGATAAGAACTTGTTTCTTCCTGGCGAATAGGCCTTGCTGATTTTTAGTTCTCATTGCGGTAATATAAGTTGTTACCTACTTCTTCCCTTCTGTTGGGAAAGATGGTAGATAATAATTCTTACAAATGATGTTGTACACAGCTTTATAGACTTCTGTTGTACCCCTTTGGTTTTTATTGTTTTCAAGTTGAGGAGGCTTCATGATTCTCTGCATGGAAGCTGTGCCATTCCTTTGGTTATCCTTCTTGTCTTGCTCGGTAATTCTTTTTAAAGAATTATCTAGTATAACCCCGAAATCTTATTCCCAAACAATAATAGATAGCAATTGGCTCTGACCTATCTTGTCTCGTGTGTAGTATTTTACACTCCTCTACTTTGCAGTTTATCATCCAGCATTTCAGTGCTGTGAAGTTCTTGTGCAATTCTTTGCAGTCAGTCCCTGTCCTACCATATCTGAGAGTAGCTTCATCACCAAACTTCACCAGTTCCTTTTCCACCATCTCTTCCACGCCATTAGTGGATATGCTTATCAGTGCTTTGGTCACATTTCTTTCCTGATTCCTTGCAAGATAACTTTTTTTAATATTTTGGTGTATATTTAATTTGTCTTTTTTGAAACATAACTGCCCCAAAATATTGTAATTTGTACAGCATCGAAGTGTTACACATTCTGTTACGTGTTTGGGAAGCACAGATTTCAAGTAGCAAGGGAATACTCCAAGGTGGATTGAAGTTAACGATATCAGTGGACTTTGGCTCACGTCGTGAAAGTATTGGCTGGGATCCCTGTTCAACAAATCCTTAGTTGTTTTCTCTATTCACATTTATTTTATTGTATTCTTTTGTCAAGAAATATTACGCACATTCATGACTGTTCACAGCACCAGAGGCTTAGAAAGAATGTAGGCCATGGAAACTTGAAGGAATGATGATTAATAAAGGAGAATTTTGTGGTAGTAAAGTGTGGAAGTCTCTTAAGTGTCGGTTCCCTGATTGTTGGCATTTATTTTCGTAACCTTCATTAAGTGCAAATTGAGATACTTGGGGTTTTTCTTTACAGAGATTTTCAGAAGTCACCCTTTGAAGGGTCTGAATCCTGCTTTTAATCTAGTGGAAGTTCTGAAGTTCGGAGTGGGATGTAACATTCAGAAGTCAAAAGGAAAGGCACCCGATTAGTCATGTCGCTTGAAAAACTGCATTTTATATCTGTGCAAAGTAGCCAGTCTTTCTTCTACAGCTGATTAATGCAAGTTTTAAAAATTACTTAACTTTTGTTATTATTAAAAGTAGTGTTTGACAGATGAGATATGAAGCAATAATAGATCACTTCACGGTGAGCTTTTTTTTCCATGGGAAAAGTGTGCTTATTATGCTTTAGTTGAGTATTTTATAAGCATCTACAAATGTAAAAATTGCTCGTGGAAAACAGAAGATGCTTCCTTGCCCTGAGAACTTGGAATGCGTATACTTGCTGAGAGTAATCACAGACTTTGCAGGACCATCTCCAGGCTTAGGACTAATGCCAGTTCTTCTGTATATTTATATGAGGACAATTTTAATTTCTAGATCTTTAATGAAATGGTGAGGCATCTGCCTGCTTGATGGGAAAAAAAATATTTCTAGTATTGCCCCTAGTATTGCAGCCAATGCTCAAGTCAGAATTTTGAAGTTTCTGAGGGTATGCATTGCTCAGAAGATGCCCTGGATTCTGGAAGTGCTTGTGAACAGGACCCACCACAGTTTGGCCTTTTTCCAGGTTGTCTTACAAAGACTCTTGACTTGTACTTTCTCTCTTTAGAAGCACTGAGCTTAATGACTAACAGACCACTTTAAATTGTTTGGGTAATGACAGTGATTAAGTTTTGTGTGCGTGTGGTGTTTTTTGTTTTGTGTTTTTTGTTTTTTTTTTTTTTTTTTTTTAATCGAATTGGGCAGGTATTTAAAACTCACAGAGGTATTAAATTAGAGTTCATGCATGATTGCTGTTGCTGCAGCAGGACTGTACCTCTCAGATATCTGTATCTGCAGATCTGACTTTAAAAAAACTACTATTCTCTTTTCTTTCAGTGAACTGGAGCGTCTGAGCAACCTAGTTGGTAAACCATCTGAGAACCATCCCCTGCACAATAGTGGACTGTTGAGCCTAGATCCTGTTCAGGACAAAACACCTCTTTACAGCCAACTTCTTCAAGCCTACAAATGGTCAAATAAGGTAACAGAATACATCAATGTGATTTAGTTGTGTATTCCTACAGTATGTTTGATTTGTGGCACAGTAGACCTCTGAGTGTGTGAGACTCAAAATTGCTGAGTTTGTTATGAAGTTGAGGAGCATAATATGTACCTAAATGTACTTTTAAAGGGTAAAAATGGTGCTTTAATTGAGAGGAGACTTTTCTGTGATACTGAGGTGTGCCCTTGCTTTTCAAAGGGGGTGTTAACTCCCTAATCATAGGATGGTTTGGGTTGGAAGGGACCTTAAAGATCATCTAGTTCCAACCCCCCTGCCATGGGCAGGGACATCTTCCACTAGACCAGGTTGTTCAAAGCCCCATCCAGCCTGGCCTTGAGCACTTCCAGGGATGGGGCATCCACAGCTTCTCTGGGCCAACTGTTCCAGTGCCTCACCACCCTCATAATGAAGAATTTCTCCCTTATATCTAATCTAAATCTACCCTCTTTCAGTTTAAAGCCATTACCCCTTGTCCTATCGCTACATGCCCTTGTAAAAAGTCCCTCTCCAGCTTTCTGAAGTAGGCCCCTTCAGCTACTGGAAGGCTGCTGTAAGGTCTCCCCAGAGCCTTCTCTTCTCCAGGCTGAACAACCCCAACTCTCTCAGCCTTTCTTCATAGGAGAGGTGCTCCAGCCCCCTGATTATCTTTGTGACCCTCCTCTGGACTCGCTCCAGCAGGTCCGTGTCCTTCTTATGTTGGGGGCCCCAGATCTGAACGCAGTACTCCAGGTGGGGTCTCACCAGAGCAGAGTAGAGTGGGAGGCACATTGTCGGGTCATGTTGAGCTTCTCATCAACCAACACCCCCAAGTCCTTCTCCTCAGGGCTGCTCTCAATCCATTCTCTGCCCAGCCTGTATTTGTGCTTGTGATTGCCCTGACCCATGTGCAGGACCTTGCACTTGGCCTTGTTGAACTTCATGAGGTTCACACGGGCCCACCTCTCCAGCCTTGTCAAGGTCCCTTTGGATGGCACCCCTTCCCTCCAGCGTGTCGACCGCACCACACAGCTTGGTGTCGTTGGCAAACTTGCCGAGGGTGCACCCAATCCCACTGTCCATGTCGCCAACAAAAACAGTGCCGGTCCCGCTGCCGACCCCTGAGGAACGCCACTCGTCACTGGTCTCCACTTGGACATCAAGCCGTTGACTGCAACTCTTTGAGTGTGACCATGCCACGTTAGCTGTTTAGCATCTTATGTAGATATAAAATAAAAGTATATTGTGTCCTTGCATCTGGCAGTAAACACTGTAGCAGAGGGCAGTGGGATATTAGAACAGAGGATCAAGAGCTTATGTCACCTCCAAATCTATTTCTAAGAAAAACATATAGGGAAGTTGTCGTCATCAGAAATCTTGATGCCTTTCCATACCATTTGCTCTTGCTAAAAACCATTTGCACCTGGTCTCAGAAGTAGCTTTGTATTCAACAGCTTTGGCATACCTAGTGTTTTCAGATTATATATATTGCATTGAATTTTAAGTAATGTTAAAAAAAAAAAATGGCAGATAAAGTTAATGCAGTTTTTTACATTTTTAAAAAATTAATTGTTTTTGTTGAAAGAAACTTCTTTCTCGTGAGCATAATTCAGTTCCATAAACCTGTATGCTGACTATATCTAGAGACAGAAATCTGATAGCTATCTTTCCTTCTCTGCTCTGAACATAGTCTACTTGTGGGTCAAAAATATTCCTTTCCTCACATCTGGTTTTATTAAATAAGTAAACATTGCATTGTTGCTTTTATTACTGGTCTCTGTCTGAGCACCATTATGTTTCAGGTTGCCTGTTCCCATCCTGAATTTTTTGAGCACGCTTATTACTTTTTATAGAAATATTTAAATGAATACGTATTTAAAAGCTTTCTTAAAATTATCTTTGAAATACTAGTGAGCTGTTACAAAATGTAAAAGATGGATTCATTTCTGTTATGATAATTGTTATTAGTGAGAGATTCCAGAGTTGTAGCTTTTAACAACCTTACACAAGACAGCAGGAGTAAGCAAGAATAATAAATCTGAAAATATTTAGGGCATTAAAAGAAACAATTCCACTTTCAATTATTTATTGTGATACATGAGCAAGGAAGACTTTCAGACTACGCAAGTACTTCATAGGCAAATTCTTGTTATACATTGATCCAACCAATCTAATATTATTCAGATTTAAAATAGAATACTACAGTAATGTTTGCATGAATACCACAATAATGTTTGTACAGTCACTTTTCAGAATACAAATATGTGTTAACTTCTAAAATCAGTAGAATTCAGCATTGACGGCAATTTGGTATGGTTGGAAAATGGGGGACATGAAGGATTTTTAAGAAGAGATTTATTAATTGAGAAAATGTTTCATGTTTGCTTGTGTTTCTTGCTGTTAGCAGCAGATTATTGGCACTGAAGAAAAAAATAATTTGTTTGCTACCTCCAGAAAAAAATAAAACCATCTAACATTTAGACATGAAAACTCCTAAACTTGTAACCCAGTTAAGTCTTCAGTGATTTAATTACTTCTTTAGGTCGTTATCAGAGTAAACTCAGCTGGTAATAGCTTTGGCAGAGTTGTTCTAATGGAATGTTTTATTAACTTAGAGCGTTATGGAGCTTTGAAGAGCAGTTTTTTGTAATACTGGATTCTGATTTCAGAAGGCAGAAAGTTTTAGCGTCCTGTGCACTCATACACAGTTAAATGTTCCGGGGGGAAAACCAGTGGTTTTCTTTCTTTTATCTCTGTTGCCTTTGACTTCTGTTTTACAGCTAAAATAAAAGATACTGTTTAAGTTGTATTTAAATAGCTACTTTCTACCTAATGGTTCTTCTGAACTTTACTAGCATCCTTTCTAGGGTTTGCAATAACCAGCAGGCGTGGATAGGTTGCCCCTGTTTCTAACAGCAGATGTGTTGCCTGTGTGAGGGTATTAGCTGCTGGATTTACCATTAGCAGTGAAGACCCTATTGATGCTTGTGTATATTGCTGCTTAAGTCTTCATCGCTAAATACACTTCTTGAATAAGTGTTATTTCATTACATCTTTTGGCCGCCTTCTGTTCTTATTATGCGTGTCTGGTGTTTTCTGTTGCTTCGAAGGGAGGATTTAGATGTGGTGATGTGTCAATACAGTTTATGTCTGTCTGCATTTAATTTTTAATTTGTGACCCCTTTGTGGCTTGCTTGCTTGTATTTTTGATGAGCTGAGATAAGGGCATTTTCCTCTCTCTTTGATTGTTCGTGTATTACTGATGGCATGAATAGCCACATGGCTGCCAGGGGAGGATAGGTGGAGGAGAGTTTCGGGGCTGTGGTGCAATTCAAAAAGGACATTCATGAAATATAGGGAAAATGAGTACGCAGACTTTGTGTTGCATGTTTCAATGCATTCTGTTTATTTTTAAAACATGGGGAGGCTGGTAGTAGTAGCTTGTAGGACAAGAATGAGTAAGGTCGGTAGGAATAACTGGGCTATCTCATGAGAAGCAAATTATTGCTCAGTATATCAAAGCACTATACATAGTACTATATATTTTTAAAAAAAGCAAGCTTTGCTGCATTATTTTTTATCTAAAATTGAAAGAACAATTAGAGGCCTGAAATGGTAATTCTTTAAAAAACCCAAACCACCAAAATCCCAAACCAAAAAAATCCCAGCATTTCAAAAGTTATCCTAGCCTGTTTGTTTAAAAGCTGAGATTTTTAGTTGGTCCACTTCTATGAGTATTTCTGCTTTGGAAATTATAGTCTCAGCCAGTTTTTGGAGCATATAATGACAGTAACCTTCCAAATACCATAAACCACATGAAGTTCTTTAAAGCATAGTACTACCAAATTGCTGCTTTTTTTTTTTTTTTTAGTGTATGAGTGTCCCTAAAACTTAAGCAGTTTTGTAAATCGGGAGGTGGATCATATCTACCTATGTGACTTACTTTTTCCGGCAAAATTGGTTGCACAAGTAATAGCTTGTTTAGTCTTGTTTTCTTAAATTTCAGCTGAGTCTGTATTAGTCATAGTTCCTTGTGGTTCATGAGATACTGGATGTTAGAACAGTTATTTGTTTATATTTGCAGCTTTGTTTTGATGCCGAGTCAAGCAAATGCCCAATTTTGATCTGGTCTTGGATGCATGGACAAGCTTTCTGGGTTAAGTAGCAGTGCTGAGTGGGAAGGGTGGTGAAGATCATATTCACAGACATAAATAGAAAATTTTGTTTAAGGTATGGATGTTAACATAGGAGATTAGACTTACCTGATGCTTTTCAACTTGTTTTATTTACCACGTTTAATATGTGTAGCTGTGGCTGGTTATGTGTTGTGAGGAAACTCACTTTTAGGTGTGAATTTACTGACCTAACTCTTTGGCTTAATGCAGTAGAGATTAATTGCATTTAATTGTGATTTCAGAGCTATTTGCCCCAAACCTTATTTTACTGCTCCTGTGAGTCACAACGCTAGTTCCTCTGTTTCTGAGTATCTTAAGTTTGCCTGCTCCAGGGGTACAGAAAAGTACAGCGGGAAAAGTTAAAACTTTCCTTACAGAAGTGTGTTATCTTGGCAGGGCTTGTTATTTATTAGCACCTGCTATCCTGATATTTACTTACTGTAGTTTATGCAATAGTTTTGCAGATGGTAAAGTTGTCCGTATAATGGAAGCAGCTGTTTGGGAACACAACAGCTTGTCAAATGTATTAATTACATACACATGCAGCTGTAAAGGAACTTTACTTTCCCAGGTGTTTAACAGAGCTCACAAGCTATAGCTGAAAAGGACAGGAAGTTTAAGTTGCTCTTATTGCAAGCAAGAGATAAATGGTTTTTCTTCTTTGCTTTAGCTTCTTTTATGTATCAGTAGATATCATATAAGTAAATTACTTTGACTGTAGGGTGCGTGGAGGCATGTAGTAGCCATGGAACAGTATTTAGGTCTACTTGATAAATTTTTTTCCCCCTCCTCTTCAATTCTATTTAAGAAAAGAGGTTTTCTTCGTTA